GCTGCTGATCACAGGTGAATCTAGGGCAGCTGCGCTTCCACCGATGGCAACCCAGACAGACTAATTGCTAATTTAATGCTAATCGCTTGGCGGAGGAGGAAAGAGAGCGCAGCTTCCGATCGTGGCTGTCGTGCATCGCCGTGGCAATCGTGCGTTGTGTGGTGCGGTCCGCCGTGTCTGTGTGTGTCTGTGTGGGGGTTGGGTCACTCACTCGGCCTTGTTACTCTGCTGATGACAGAGTACCAGTGCTCCCTGCTTCCCCTCCAGCCGCCCTAACTCAAATCGAGTGCAGCTCGATAAAGGGTTTGTGCTGATGTGCACTCCTGCCTCCCCCTCCTCCCTTTCTCCTTTCTCCTCCATTGTCATTCCTTATGCTCCCCTGTTATTTCTTCCATCCTTTCTCTCTCGTCCCTCCTTAGTCCTTACCTTCTCTTCTTCCCCATCCCACCTCCTCCCGTGTTTTCCTTCCTCCACCTACCTCCTCTATTCTCTCCTTTCTCTGGTTCCATCCTCCCCCTCCGTCCTTCCCCTTCCTCCTGCTCCACCCTCCATCCTCCCTCCTCCTTCTTCCCTCCTTTGTTCTCCCCTTCCTCTTCCATCCTCTCTCCTGCCCCATCCCCGCACCTCACCCTCCTGCCTCCTCCATCCTCCCCCTCTCTCTCTCCCTCCAATGGAGCGTGAATCCACGATTGTATTAAATGATATTGCCGTGGCGACTCAGCGAGCGTCTGGTTGGCGTCTGCTAGCTTGCGACCAGATGAATTGCCATGGTGATGGGACGCGCGCACGAGTGCACTCGAGGCTCCACCATTCATCCCCGCGCTGCTACTGATATTATATATATATATATATATATATATAATTATGATCACTGGTAAATAAAAACAGATTTATTGTTCTTTGTTCCTTGCTATTCAGTCCCTGGTATGATTTATAGAGCTGAAAAGCACACGTACTATTATTGCGATGCTACGAACATGAACAGACTCGGCTGCTGTATTAGCAATGGCCTGGTAATCGCTGCACTAATGTATATTGATGTACCGGCGTGTGTTGTCCAACCTCCTTCTCGTTGTCAATCTCTGCTAAGACTCTAAGACCTTGACTTTTGGTCGTCTGACTAAAATGGCAGCTGAGTAAGATTAGGGGGTGGCCACAGTGCTTTAGCTGACACAATCAGTCCAGTAATTGTGTATAGATTGGTGGAGACAGCCAGCAAAGGGAGGGGGAAGGGGGCGGTCGCTATAACGGGGCGCCAGTAGCAAATTAAATGCGGCAGTCATCATCGTTTAAGGATGCGGAGGGTGAGGGCAATCAGCATTCGGGGCTTCCTTGCGTGCAGCGAGGTGGGGTGGGGTCGCGGTGGTGGCTGTGCATGGCGATGCGCGTGGGTGCCATAAGGGGCTTTCCTTGTGTGCCGGGCAGGGCGGGGTGGGGTTGCTGCGTTGGAAGGTGCACTGGTGCAACAGGGCCTTCGCTTGTGTGCGGGTGGGCGGGTTGGTGTGCGGGGGTGGTGCGGCTGCAAAGGAGCTTCCTTGTGTGGGGCGGGCGGGAGCGCGTGGCGAGGTGGTTGGTAGGGTTGCTTGCCAAACAGGGGCTTTCCTTGTGGTGGGGTGGGCGGGTGGTGGGCTGGGGTGCGAGTGGCGATGCCAACAGGGCTTCCTTGTTTGGGGCGGGCGCGGGGAGGGGTGGGGTGCGGTGGGTGCCAAAGGCTTCCTGTGTTGTGGGGCGGGGCGGGTCCGTGCGGGTGTGTGGTGGGTGGTGGCCAACAGCTTGCCTGTGTGGGGCAGGGTAGGGTGGGGCAGGGTAGGGTCCAACAGGGCTGTCTTGTCTGTGCGGGCAGGGCGCGGTGGGGTGTGGTGGTCTCACAACAGGGGCTGCCTTGGTGGGGCAGGGCCGGGGCTGGGTGTGGTGGGTGCAACGGGGCTGCCTTGTGTGGCGGGCAGGGCGGGCTGGGTGTCAGTGAGTGCAACAGGGCTGCCTTGTTGGGCAGGGCGCGGCTGGCGTGTGACGTGGTGTGTCCCGGTGCCAACAGCGGCAAATTTAGCGTGTCGCCATAGATAGGGAATCGACGTGGGAGTGACATGAGTCGTCGCGTCCGCCGTCAGCCCCGGGCTGGACTCAGCTCTCACACAGCCACACTAGTCTGCTGTTCGCCTACCTAGCATGGATAGAGCCCTGCGTCGGGGGACGTTTCGTCGCGCAAGCATTTAGTCGTAATCATTAGCACTGTCATTAAATAAATATTATAGCACTATATTATGACACTCCTCCTGGTGGTGATATTAGCCTTGCGACTGCACGCTGTTGTCAGACACATCGTCACATAGTTTTATGTAGCCAATGAGCTCTAAAATCACGTAAAATTTCAATGTTGCTAACATCTTGATACAAGTTATTAATGTTATGTCGAGCATAACTTACGACCTTTGATAGTTATGATTAGGTTCTATTACGTGTTTATGTTCTCAAAATTGGGCTTTTTATTCGTAACATCTCT